GTGGGACTGAAGCAATGAGCTATTATGAGCAACAGATTTCAGACAGAAATAATCATTTAGGGAAGCAAAAGATGAAAGAAATTACTCCAACGTCTCTGCATAGGAAGGTACTCTTCATATAAATGCTATTAGCCCAGACTAGAAAAATCCAACTAATTTTATCATGAGTGTCAAAAACATTTGGTCTCCATTGATTTAAAATGTATTTGTTTGGGAGGAAATTTGAGGTCAATTTAAATTAACCTTTTCCAATGACTGGTATATTGTCAGTAATAAACCAATCTTTTTGTTTTTTTTTTTTAAACTCTGGACAGGAGAAAAACATGAAAAATATTTTAGCAAAGATGCTTAAATCCCACTGAGAGAATTTTCTAAAGGGAACCCATAAATTTTTGAGATCTTGGAGAGTTTTCCAATGTCACAACTTTCTATGAATTCCAGATAAAAGCATAATTAGCTGCAATGATCACATATACACTTAAAAGACAGAGACCCCTCTAGATCATAAATGTTTTCTTCAAAGTAATTGTTATGCATTGAATCATATATATATACATGAATATTTATTATTTAATGAAAACTATATTTAAGATTCTGTTAGATGAAATAGTGGTCTCTAAGGCAACTATTTACCTCCAATGTAAATGTTTCACAAGTTTGGTTTTCTATGCCTTTGGCTGATTTTTAAGGTTTTTCTTATATCAGAACTTACCTAAAGTAAAAGTAAATTGGAGATTTAAAAATGTAATTGTGTTGATATTTCATTTGTTTGATGTGTAAATATATATATATATATATATATTTATTTATTTATTTATTTATCACATCCATTTTTACTAAGAAAACAAGAATCAAATAGCAATTGTTTATTCCCAGTGTTTACATATGAGTATAGATTTATGGACACAGGTAAAAGTAAACATATGTAAAAACAGATGAAAGTATGAAATCTTTAGACACCCTGGTCTGAAGGAGAAATGCCTAGTTATCGATTTACTGCATAATGGGATTATACATCATCACTGTAGAAGGCCAGTAACCCGGCTGGAGAAACAGTGTGATAAGATACACTTATCTTAGTAAAAATGAAAAAATAGAAAGAGATTTCTATAAAATGGAGGTTTTGTCCATCTTAAAAGTAAACCACACCCCAGAAAATGCACTTATTTTACATCATATTGCAGAAACCTTGCAACTGAAAACAGTGAAATTATATGGAAGTAAAAATATTGTTAAAGGAAGAGAAAATGTAACCACATTTTCTTCCAGATTCCAACTGTCACACATCCTGAAACATTGTCTAAATTTTGTCTTAAATAAATGTAAGCTGTTAAAAGTCATGTAAATAGTTCCCATACATTATGTGCTAAAAGTACAAGTGTTGCAATAGCTCTTGCTATAATAGAAAGATGCCGCAACTACTTACTCATAATTATCTCCTTGGAAAATTTGTTGGTTCTGTTGAAACATTCAACAAGCCATGAGTTGGATGCTCTGTGTATTAAAACAGGTAATTGATTCTCCATTGGTTAAAAACACAACTCGGGAACAAGACTGCTGAGATCAAAGTTTAGTTTTATCATTTCTTCAGGTATAATATTCTACTTCCAAATCTGTAAAACAGATATTATAATGGTCTCTCTCATATGATTGTTGTGGAGATTTAGTGACTTAATGTATACAAAATGCTCAAAATAGTGCTTGGTACCCAGTGAACACTGAGTTTTTATTACTGTCTTTAATATATATATATATTGTAAATCAATTTACAGGAAATGTTTAACTTGCATGCATTCCAGAAGTAAAAAGAGAGAAATAAATAATGGTCATCAACATTGATTCAGTAGCACTCTCTTTTAGAAGATTCTCCATGAAAGTGCTTATTCTTTGCAAACAATGTTTCAACAGCATCAGGATAGCCACATAATCAGGTTAAAACAGACAAAAATGAACTGATCTAAACCTCATGCCTTTAAAAAAAATTCTAAATGATTTCAGATTTAACAAATGAGGCATTTTCAGTTATAGCATCTTATTAAGAAGCTTGGAGGGCATTACAAATATTCTAATTAACTTTTGACGTATCTGTTGAAATGAAAGACAATCATGGCTTTCATTGTTTAAATATACTGTATAACTCCAACTACAGGGTGAAGAATACACTGGCTCTTTCCAAATCATGATAAGAGAAAAAAAAAAAAGTAATTTAGAAATCTTGCAACTGTTGAATATTGGGGCAGCAGTGCATAATCTCCCTTCTTCTTGAGCTTAGATCATTTTGAGCTCTAGGGAGCACTTAAAGCAGAATGAACCACATACTAAGCAAGTGCCATAAGACCACAGCTAGCTAAGTCCTCTGTGAATTTAGAAAGTAATGAAGTCTTTTGCCACAGATAATTTGAGACTCACATCTGACAGGGACCCAATAACAACTATATAGGGTTTATGCATCCCTTTTACATGTCCTGCAATTCCTTGGATGCCTTATCAAACTGTCCACACTTTATCCACTTATCATTTCTAAAAATAACCATTTGCTTTTGTCTGATCTTTTGTCCCCAAATTCCACAGACCAAAAATCCAGTTTTCTAACCATTTATGGCATTCATTTTTTAAATTTATTTTTTAGTTGTATTTGAACACAATATCTCTATTTTATTTATTTATGTGGTGCTGAGGATCGAACCCAGGGCTTCGCAGATGCGAGGTGAGCACTCTACCCCTGAGCCACAACCCCAGCCTCGGCATTTATTTTAATATGATGGAACATGTTTCATGGAACGTTTTATATGGAGGCTGATTCTTTTCTCTAACTTTTTTTTTTAGTTGTAGTTGGACACAATACCTTTATTTTATTTATGTATGCTTATGTGATGCTGAGTTCGAACCCAGGGCCTCGCACATGCTAGGCAAGCGCTCTACCGCTGAGCCCCAACCCCAGCCCCTGAGGCTGATTCTTATTTTGTATTAACATGAAACAACTAGTGAGGTGCCTTGAGAAATAATATCAGTCCATGAATTAAAGATATATTTTCACCTGTAGATCAAATAAGATTATTCTCAAAAGAATTGTGGCAATGTAGACATCCACCTCCCCAGATCAGCATGAAAGAGTGGAAGAGCATTGAACTACATATTGGGGGTCCTGAGGTCCAGAATTTGCTCTGATATTAACTTGCCTTGTGACTTTTTGAAGTCTCCAAACCTTCTGTACCAAAATTCCTCACCTATAAAAGTAGCAGTTTGAATGAGCCAATCTCTATCTGAAGTCTGTAACAACTTTAAAATTTCATACTTCAAAGAAAATTATTTTCCCTTAAGGTAATTTCCTTATGAAAGAATCATTTTCCTAGCTGCACATCCACTGCCCTAAGACAGACTGACCTCCCTGCAGTTGTACAAGTAGTGCTTTATGATACGTTCAGCATTTTACAGTCTCTTCGAGGCTGGATTCACACAGCAAATGAAGCATTGACCCCCAACCTCCAAACATGACTTTGTTGTGGAAACATGATCTCCAATTTGCAGGTGTCCCTAGGGTTGAGAAATAACTCTCAGGGGCCTAATTCTGACAAAATGAGTTCTACAAAATACCAATATCTATAAGATGCTGTTTATTGAATTGTTATTTGTCTTACAAGATCTTTTTCGAGGGGCTCTTTAAATGTCTAACAATACAAAAAAAAAATAAATAAATAAGCCATCGGTCTTCCCCTAACTCATGAAGCCTACAGTTTAACCCAGATCTTATATAGAGTTAGGAATTGAGTGAGTTCCCAGAAATGCTTGAGCAGGAATAAGCACAGAATTGATTCCACAAGTGTTCCATTTACTGCCTGCAGCCCTAAATCATGTTTTAAGTTTCTTTGCACTCCTAGGATTGTACAGCCTATGCTTTTCAAGGAGTCTTCCTAATGCTTCAAGTGTGTATGTGTGTGTGTGTGTGTTTGTGTGTGTGTGTATTAGAGAGAGAGAGAGAGAGAGAGAGAGAGAGAGAGGAGAGAGAGAGGAGAGAGAGAGAGAGAGTGCATGCTCATGACGGGGTTAACTTGAAAATGTCAGTAACTCTCATGATGACTTTCATCTTTGAAATAAATGGAGGGCAGTACTGATGCAAATGAAGACAAATTCAGGGGGAAAACTTGGAACAATATGAAAATTACAGAGTGAAATGCAAAATGCCTAATCACAGATAGCTATTCAAGAGAACGGAAAATTCATATGTAAGCAATGTGGAAATTTAGGCAGTATATTTTAACAAAGAAAAAAGAAGATAATGAGATAATGGTGTGTATTTATAGATGCATATATTTTATATCATATATAGTAGATCGTTGCATCTATCAAAAAAGCTGAAGAATAAAAGACAAAATCATAGAACACTTTGAAATGAGATATGCAGTCCTCATTATCTATAATACGATTGCAATGAAAAATTGTATACAAAAAGTATGAAGAGTTTTCTGATCTGAATATTAAATTGGAAAGAGCCTTTACATTCTAGATTTTGTAGAAAAGATAAGAATGAATGGCAGTTCTTTCACAAACAAAGTAAAGAAGGCAAATGCATTATTCCAGGGCTATTCTCTCAAAGGAATACTGATGAGGGATTGAGAGTTGCATACTTGAAAAAACGTAAGACAAAGCCCTGGACCTGATGGGCCGTGATGTTTTGTTCACACTGTTCATCTGTCAAGCACTGTCATTGACGCCAATGTTCATTCTTCCTTAACCAAAACCAAGCAAAGGACCTGGAGTCCATCACTCTGTCGAATCTTCTTTTTCTCCACAGCTGTCTCAGTGCCTCCAAGTGCTTTTTTGTAGTGAATTGGGTTCATTTTAGCTACCAAACCAATGTCCCAGGACCATCCATCTCCATTCCCTACCTGAGGGGAAAAGAGTTTCTCCCCTATTATTTGAACCTCTGGGATGTTGAGTAGCTTCCAACCCTATTTTTTCCAGCACTCTTCTGCTGGTGGGTGTGTTTTTTCTCCCTGCAGAAATCAAGGATATCCACCTATGAGAAGATGTGGGCTTTCATGAGCAGCAGGCAGCAGACTGCCCTGGTTAAAAACAGTGACGAGGGGATCCAAAGAGTGCTCACCACCGACTATGCCCTGCTGATGGAGTCCACCAGCATTGAGTATGTGACTCAGAGAAACTGCAACCTCACTCAGATCGGGGGCCTCATTGACTCCAAAGGTTACGGCGTGGGAACGCCTATTGGTAAGCTGGGCTAGGCATTAACCAGGATGGAGATGGGCCATCTGGATTGCAAGTGCTCCATGGGAAAGCCTGCCAGACCTTAGCAGACTATAATTAAGAGAAAGATCCATATCAATCAGACACATGGTCTGAATTTAAGATTCCCAGAGAGTCAACCTAATAAACCTTCTACTACAATTTCTTTCAAGTTCTACCATAGTATAAGCATTTAAAAGTATACAGGTCTTATTATCTTAAGAGGATATTTTCCCAATTACTCCTCTTCACAATATTTCCTTTGATGTTAACATATTCTATACAGTTTCTCTGCTTTAAATTATATTGGAATCTGAGAAAATTAATTCTGCATATAGATGAAAATTTATACTGCACATAGAGGACTAGTATTTCATGTCAATAGATGAAAAATCAAGGCTATATCTATCAAAAGAAAAAGTATAAAGACTATAATTATAATTTGCTCAGGCATAAACGAGATTCAATGATAACTATCTAAAATCTCCAAATGTTCCAGTTGTTTGACTATGTGGCGCCATTTTCCCTAGGGAAAGTATAAATTGGTAAAAATAAGTACCCATACAACATCTTCCTGGGTGACAGTCATAGACATGAACAGAATATTTTTCTACTGTTTCCCTCTCTATAGAAAAACTGCATTGTAAAAGATTCTGGTGTGGTAGAATAGGTAGGTAACCTGCTGCTCTCAAGTGAGTCCTGTTACTTTGTTCATAAGCATTCTAATGGAAAGGAGTCAGGGCTCATCCAATGAGAAGAAATCCTAATTGCAGTCAAGCCAGATAATTGAGAGCCTAAGGTAGATTTGATTTGCTAGTTTGTATTATTTTGTTATTGTTTGAAAGGTATTGTCCAGTTGGACCCTCAACATTAGACAGGGATCACAACTAAAATGCTTATTGAGTCCAAGTCGCTCCCTAAATGAGGAAAGCTTGTTTGCTTGCAGAAATAGGAGGAAATCCTGGCAGCCCTAGTCTATTACAGACAAAAAACTTATCTGAAGGAGGCTTCTGGACAGCCAGCCATAGACATGTGGGAATTTGAGAGAAAGTTTGTCAGACGTAATTCATTTATCCACACAAAACAAATCCAGATTTTCAGTGAAATCTTTTAAAGTTTTAATTTGGCACCTAATTAATTTTTTAAAAGGCTTGGTGTATCCTACATTTAACTTATTATTCAACTGTATAGACTATATTAATACTAGTTGAATTAATTAAGTAAAGGTCAACTGTCTTCAACATTTACTATGAATATACAGTCAATTTGACTCCCTTATATCTACCTGGTGTTAGAAATATTTGGTATGGGGGAAATAACTTTATGTATGTCTTCTACAAAAAAATCTTCAGAACAAATTGGGTTAGGGGATCTGTCATTACCTTTTTAGCTTTTAATTTCCAGTAACTTTTCTTGATAAAATACCAGTATTGCTAGTGAAGTGTAGCTTTTTTTCCCCAAGAGGAAAACTGCTATAATTTAGCAACCTGTTTTTCATGGGATTCTAGGGGGATGGTAAACCACAAACTAAAAGGATACTGTGCATCTTTTTTATTTTAAAAACAATATCCTATCTCCCTAATCAAGCTTTGCTACCAAATTTTAGATAACATGCGGTAGGGAAAGTTAGATAGATGCTATTGAAAACCTCTGGGTGCCTTCATATGAATGAGGTTGACTCTCAGATAGATAGATAGATAGAGATATAATATTTATATATAACATATACATATATAAATTATGGAGAGATTTGAAGGTACCTATCAGTCTACTTTTTGCCAACCTCACCCATAACAAATTCCAAAGTTAAAAGAGGCTTCTTCCCTCCCAAGATGAAAAGAAATATACTTGAGGAATTTTTCATAGCGGCTATAAACCTGTCATGCTTTTAAACCAAGAACAATGAAGGAATAATTGGAACAGATGGCAGACCTCAGAGAGAATACATCCATTGGGAATGCAGCTGTTGGATAAATTTTTGAGACGTTCCTTCTATGATGAATTGACTCTTTAAGAAAGATCAGTTGCTATTCAGAAAGATCTGTGTGTACACATATACATTTTTTTCGAGTGACTTGTAATAAGTCACTTCTAATGTCACTCAATCCATATAAGCAATGATATCAAAGACTGACACTAAAACACATACAGATATCAAAACCTCTCCAGACCCTGTGGCCTAACCCTGACTGAGCCCTTGAGGCTCCACTCTCTCCAATAATGAGAAACTGGCAAAGATGTACCAGTTGCAACACAGAATTGAAAACTTTACTTCTTAAAGATTCTCAGGACAGAAGCTCTGAAAATTTGTGCCTCCTGAAGGATTTAAAATAAAACTTCAGGAGAATGAGAACAGTTAAGGTTTGAACAGGTTACCAGGAGCCTGGAAATTGCCTTCCTTAGAGACCAACTTTAAACAGAAATTGTATCTCCATCTGTCTGAAATGTTTTGGGTACTGTGCAGCCTGGAGGCAGAGGAGAGCAACAGTCAGCATTTATTGAGTGCCCACTGTGTATACTGCTATGATCACTGTGGCAGCTACCACTGTACGAATCATTCTTGAACCCTTCAAAGCACTTTCCTGTACCTTGAAGCAAAGTGCTCCTGGTTCACCTAGTTGCTCACATGCTGTGGGTATGTTAATGGCGCTAATTTTGACATCGGTCATTATTCTGGGGGTGTTTAAGCAAACAGCCAACATCTTTTAATGTGGCTTTCATTTTCTCACCAAAAATCCATACTCTTAATTGACAAGACATAATCTCCCTCTGAAGCATTTTGCTCTTCTTTTCAACTCAATTTTGAGTGCTAACCATTACTTTTAAAAATCTTAGGAGAAAAGAAATGACAAATGCTACAAATGTTAGCACTTTTCAAACTTAACCATGCCACAGGAGGAAAAGCATATTTGGGGGGTGGGGGAGTGATGTGGGAGCACTTTGATGAAAACAGTACCAAGAAGTAAGAAGTAAGGAGAATTGAATTTGATTCTTGGCTCTGCCAGTAACTATTAGTTTCACTCATACTTCCAGATTCAAGATTTCTACCAAGAGTGACTTTAAAATCTGTAAGCAGAGAAAGCCAGTGTGTACTACTTTCCTACTGAGTAAGAGAAATGCTAACAAAAATTCTTACCATCCAAGGAAAAATTGAGTAAAAGACTCTTGCTGTGTGTCTCTTTCTTTGCATTAACATAGGAATCCAGTATTGAGAAGATGAAGATATTGGTACTTTCTAACCCTTACATAATTAAACATTAAGAATATTATTACTCAAAGACAGAGCATAAATATTATGAAAAACGTCTGTGCAAAGTTTTGAAAGTTAATTGAATTTAGTAGGACCTTTAAAGTATTTAAAATTTATTCTTAAGTTTATCTTACTAGAAAAATTAGTCAGTATGGATGAACAGCTATGACCAATATAACCAATATTCTGTGACTTACACAGTGAGTGGCTATTCCTTGACCTTTGTGGCTATTTAATGCAAATTGAGAAAGAAGCTTTGCTTTATGCAGGCATCCTAGGACCCAAGTTCCTTCTATTTGGCAGTTACACCATGCCGGGTGACTTGAAATCTTTTGCTTCCTGCCGTGTATTTGGGGCGGGAGAGAGGGAGCACAGAAGAGAATGTTGGGAAGACATATGATGTTGGATTAGAAATATCCATAAATCAGGTTAGCTCCCATTGGCTAAAAATCAGACACATGGCCACAATGACCTTGAAGGAGGCTGGGAAATATCTAGCTATATAACATATCTAGCTAGGAAGAAGAGGAAATGAACAGATTCAGTCACAATATAGGAGAACCAAGAACCTAGAAAAGGTAGAAAGAATCTAGTCAATGAAAGCCCTTGACACATGATAAGACTCAGGAGGAACTCCCCAGAAGCAGAAGTCTGTCAGAAGTCCTAGCTTAGCTTTTCTTTACTTAGAAGGAGCAAACAGTCCAGGCCAGAGTCAATCTCAACATGTCAGCTTTCCCCTTTCCCATTCTTTAGGACCTCCAAAATAGGGGATTGCACTTTCCTGCCTTGCCTAGTTGATTTGTGGATTCGGCTCTTACAACAGCCATGATCTATTTACCACTAAGTTGGTAAAAACCTCTTCTTCAGCCTTTTGGTGACCAGTATCCCAATGATTTCACTTTCAGGGTCTCCTTACCGGGATAAAATCACGATAGCTATTCTTCAACTACAAGAAGAGGGCAAGCTGCATATGATGAAAGAGAAATGGTGGCGGGGAAATGGGTGCCCTGAAGAAGACAGCAAAGAGGCCAGTGCTCTGGGAGTAGAAAATATTGGGGGCATCTTCATTGTCCTGGCTGCTGGACTGGTCCTTTCTGTATTTGTAGCCATTGGAGAATTTATATACAAATCACGCAAGAACAATGATATTGAACAGGTGAGTCATCTCTTTCTAAAACGGGATGGTTTTTAGTTGGAATTATCTGTCTGAAGTTTGAAGTTTCAAGGAGGCTTGCCCTTTTTGTAACAGTCTATTGCATTAGATGCCCAGAAGAGCCATTTTTGAGTTAGAGCAGAGAGATGTTGAATACCTGCCAGGTGCTGCTGGCACCTTAACTTCATCATTTATTAACAAAAAAGAAAAACAGAAGAAGAAGAAGAAGAAGAAAGGAAGTAAGGAAGGGCCTCTACACTAACTCAAATTAGCACTATTGCCAATGACAGAGTAGAAATTCCAAAGTCAGTTAATTCCTTGAATAGTTTTGTGCTCTTAAGATAGAAACTACAGGTAGGGTAAGGAAAGAGTAAATCTAAAATGGGAAAAGATACTTGAGAGAAGTGTTACCAGCCCTTCAGTGGAGATTCTGAGCACTTGTACTCATGCAAAACAATTTACGTGACAACATAAAGGTAGTATTTTGAAACTGAGCTTTTACTTCCATCAAGGTATGATTTATAACAGGATAATTCAATTTTTTGCCAGTAATATGATCAACAACACAAAATGGCAATTAAGTATATTTGAAGCTTTATTTTTCCAAATTGCATTTAGGATTACAGGATGATTTCAATGAGGAACTATTTTTGCCTATTTTATTTTTAAAGGAACTCAAATCATAAACTTAGACCCTACAGAAAAGATGCTTGTGGTTTCATTATTCCTTCATAAGCATATTAGAAAAAAATGAAATGCAAAACTCACAGCCACTATAGTGTATTAGGCCACCTAATTAATTTAAAGATGTTGTTCGAATTTCAAGAGTATGAACTTTTAATAACAGAGCCAGTTTAATGCTCCACCATATCTATCTTGAAATTCTTAATCATTTTTTAACAAGGAGTCACATATTTTCATTTTCACTGGCCCTGAAAATTATATAGCTGGTTCTGATGAATAATCTGATACTAGACCCACTTCCTTTAAGTGGAAGCTCTCCTTAAGCACCAGGAACTGGAGATGATTCATTATAACAGGTCTGGTCGAGAAAATCTTCCCCAGAATTACAAAGAAATGATGAAAATATTGAGTACCCCTTTCCTGGACCACATTATGGAAAACTGTCTTTAATTAAAAAGGGAAAATGGACTGATCTGCTTTGTTTTAACTTTCAATTTGCTCTTGAGGTGTCTTGTTTTATGCAACTAATTTAAAAAACAAAAGCTTGTATATATTATGCTTTAATGTGCTTTTCATAATTGCCAGCTTCATTTGATTTTAATTTCAATTAAAAAATCAATTTTGCCTTTGAATTAATCAATTTTTAAAATTTTTTTTCTCATTTCTTTTGCATGCAAGGCTTTTTGTTTCTTTTATGGACTGCAGTGTAAGCAAACCCATCCTACCAACTCCACTTCTGGAACTACTTTATCTACGGATTTAGAATGTGGCAAATTAATTCGAGAGGAAAAAGGGATTCGGACACAGTCCTCAATTCATACTGTGTAATCGGTTTAAAAAAAAAAAAAAAAGGTGTGCCCAGTAGAAACCATGACTCCTAATTGTTGTTGATTTTTGTCTGTGTCTAACCAAGCATGAATAACCCTAACTCCCTATCCCCATGTTAGTAACATACATGTGGACAGGACTCTGTTGATTTCAATGCAGATGTGCACTGTATGTAGAGGCAGGGCCACATCAGAACTGTACAGACTCCTACATAAGTGCATATACAGGAATCTACTTCATGCAAAACAATCATCTTTGCTCTATCTCATGCATCAAAAATAAATGACTCTTTTCTCATGAAAAAGAAGATTCAGACTTTCAACAGGGAAAAGCATGAACACTAAATGCTGATTCTGCACACTCCTTTTCATCTTGGTGAACTCTTTTTCCCTCCTCTTTCCCTCTCCCTGTCCCCCATGTTCTTTAGAATCACATATTTCACATTTCCAGAAACCCTTGTCTTTTCAATAAGTACACATGTAATTCCATAACAATGTTAATTTTTTATTCAAATTGATTCCACTATTTAAAATGTGTTATTTACAAGAGACTTACATGAATCTTAGATTTTAAAGATTCAAAAATTATAATAATCTATTGACTGCATTATTATTTGGGGGTTTTGTGTGTTTGGGGGTTCTTTCCAGATTCTGAATATTAATGCCCTGTCAGAAGAGTAGCCGACAAAGATCTTCTCCGATTTTGTAGGTCCTCTCCTCACACTCTTAATTACTTCCTTTGCAGTACAGAAGGGTTTTAATTTGATGCCATCCCAGTTATTGATTTTTGGTTTTATGTCTTGAGCTTTAGGGGTCTCGTTAAGCAAGATGGTACACGTACCAATAGGTTGGCATGTTGAATCTGTTTTCTTCTAGCAGTTGTAAATTTTCTGGCCTATTTTCTGGTCTTTGATCCACTCTGAGTTGACTTTTGTGCAGGGTAAGAGATTGGGTTCTAGTTTCATTCTTCTACATATGGGTAGTTTTCCCAGGACCAGTTGTTTAAATATTTATCTTTTCTTCAATGTATGTTTTTGGCACCTTTGTCGAGCAGCAGATGACTATATAAGAAAGGCAAAGGTCAAATGTTTTCTCTCATATGTGGAAGCTAGAGAGAACCAAAGAATTAAAAATGGATGGGGGGGTGGGGGGGGCGGGGGACGGATATCCCAGGAAAATAGAAGGGATCTTGGTAGAGGAGAGGAGGAAGATTGAGTGGGAGGGAGGAGGGATAGAAAATAGAAGGAACTGCAGAATGAAATTAACCAAATTATACTATGCACATATATGACTATGCCACAGTGAGTCTCACCCTTATGTATATCTATAAAGTACCAATCAGGAAAAAAATAATAAATAAATAGAGTGGGAGAAGAGAAGCAGGGGGAGAGTGGAGGGGAAGGAAAGTGGAAGTACTGGGGATTGAAATGGAACAGATTACATTTCTTGCATGTATGAATGCGTCAAAATGAACCCCACTATGATGTGTAACTATAATGTACTAATGAAAACATTTTTTTAAAAAAATCCATGACACAGAGAATCATGGTTGAACATGAACCTCTGGTGTCAATGCGGAAGAGCATTGCCTATGTTGGTCACTATCAGGTGTGCAACATGGTCAAGAACAATCCCTTGGCAGAAATGCAGTAACACCATGCTCTTAGCATTTTCTTGTAGAGTTTAGCGATCTTCTGTAGCTTTAGAGTCTTTAAGACCTATATATCATTTCTTTGAAGACCTAAATCAAGTCCTGAGCTGGAAACTAATTCATACATCTTGTATCTGCTGCTCACTCACCCTCACTGATGAACATCTTTGCATGAGATGCTGTCCACGTTCTCCACATTCACCCAGGACAGAACAGTTGTACCTGGAGCAATCTTTTCTGAGCATTGCTACTTCACACTCATTGCTTTGGATCCATCACCATTATTAATTCATTCAAGGCATATTGGAGAGAAGGGCAAAGAGGAGAAAATAAATAGAGGAAAGAATTTCCATACACATTAGTTACAGATCTCCGTAGATTTATTTTCCACCTGCATTCAAAGTGCTGTAAATAATTCCCACACTAACTCACGTTGGTGACACAGAAAGCCAATTGCATACTTAATTTGTTGTGACAGAGAATGTCTGCTGGTCCCTCTGGGCTTGTTTCTCCTTCACAGTGAGGAGGGGAATTGAAGATGCCTTTCATCTTCCCTCAATATGGGATCAGTTGGTCTTTGTTGTCCTTAGGGGAGTTACCTCTTGACACATCCAGTGATCCTCTAAAATATATTCCTCAGAGGCAGAGACACCACCTGTGCAGTCACATTGCATTGTCTTTTTCCTGCTCTGTTCTAAGTGGCTCCAATTTTTGAATCACATCTCTCTCCAATCAATCCTATATTTCTCCAGCAAAGCGCATTCAGAAAAGTTGATTCTTGCCCTGATTGTTTCTCAGCGTTTCCTCTTCCTTGAAATAAATGTACTTTTAAGAAAGTGTCTGTAAAACCCACTACAGTTTACTTGCCACTATTGAAATACAAGTAACTTAACCATTGGTCTCAGGTCAAAATTCATATTTTCATAATCAACAGAATCAAATGTGGGGATAAACATAACACTGTTCTAACCCCTGAAGTATTTCTCCAAGAACTATTTAATATACCAAAAACACTGCCAAAAAGTTTTTAAGTGATTGATGAAACAGATAATGATGAGTAACAGTGCTTGCCTTTCTACAGAGACCCCATTTAAAAGTTTGATTCAGAGATTTGGGTAATGAAATAATCTCTTTCAAAAATTAATATTTTCATAATAGTTTTAACTGTTTACTGCCTGATTCTGATATATAATACTCTTCTATGGTTTTCAAATGTTTTTAAATTGAGCATTACATTTTATCCTTTCAGCAATTTTAATTCAACTTTATTAAAAGATATTGGAGTCCTTGACCTAGAGTCATACATATTAGAATCATGAGAGAATGTTTCAAACTAGTCATACTTAGGTTCAAATATGATCACATGTGGATTGACTGTAGGTAAGTTACCTAACTTCTTAGAATCTTATTTTCCTAATATGCAACACTGAGACATCATTTCTAGAACATAAGGTTGTTTTAAAGGGTTTTTTTTTTCAATGTCAAGTGTTTCTCAAATGAGATGTTCATGGTTAAGTGACCCATAGAGCATCCCACTAAACATTTCTTTACTGCATATCTCAGCATGTTTAATATGCCGTCATGGATCATGAATTTCCAGAAAGGTAGAAAACTATTCAGCATTGACTTAGCCTAATAGATCACAGAATATCTTTTCTATTAGATCATAGCATATCTTTCCCCAGAGCATCTTGATAGACCAGTGTTTTAGAGATGATCCACTAGGGAACTTGGGTATGATAATATGGATCTCAATCTGTGGTAATATGTAAAACCTCTTGCATGGCATATAGCACATCATCATCACTCAATATAACAATTATTTGGAGTAAGGGTTTAACTTCTCAAATTCCTAAACTTAAGGCAATGTTATTGGCTTTACACATTTACCATGAGAATTAAATGAAATGATATCATGACAGAGAAAATGAAACCGCTTATAAAAGTACTGCTAATAAATATTGGTTAATAAATGTGGGTTCCTACTTAAAATATTAGGTATTTATCTTTGGTCACATGAGCAAGAAGGGAAATGTATCAAGAATCTTAAAACAGAGCCAGATTTAGAAAACATATTTACTAATGTACAGACCCAAGCTCTGTAAGCTTACTTTCCCTGATGGGTACATGGCACACACCTGTGATCCCAGCAACATGGGAGACTGAGGCAGGAGAATTTCAAATTCAAGGCCAGCCTCAGCAACTTAGTGAAGCCCTCATCAACTTAGCAAAACTCTGTCTCAAAATAAAAAGTAAAAAGGTCTTGAGATGCAGATCAATGGTAAAGCGCCCCTGGATTCAATCCCCACTACCAAAAAAGATTAATTTCCCTATGTAGGTATTCAAAATCAATGGTAAGGCCATTACACACAAGAAAAGGACCCAAATTGATGGACATGAGAATCCGTAGTGGAAGCCCTTGACCTCATTTCTAGAAACTGATTTAATTAGTCTGGGAGTTGAGGCAGGATAATAGTAGTTTTTTTAGATGTCCAGTTGATTTTAACATGCAGGAGGGTTGCAGACAAATCATTTGAGTACAAACTTGTGCATGCTCAATAATCAATAAATAAATTGATTAATAAACTCAATAAATCACTGCTGTTTATTAATGTATTTTTTAAAAAAGAGAGAGAATATTTTTTAATATTTATTTTTCAGTTTTCGGTGGACACAACATCTTTATTTTATTTGTATGTGGTGCTGAGGATCGAACCCAGTGTGCTACGGCTTGAGCCACATCCCCATCCCTTTATTAATGTACTGATTCCAAAGGTAGAAGCACTAACTCCAACTAATATATTTAACACATATTTAGTATTCAAAATTCAATGGATCCTTTACATGCATAATTCAGGAAGAAATTGCATATTTTTGAGATAAAAATTTCATAATATTCAATTTGATAATCTCCACATTTAGTTATTAAACATAGAGCTGGCTCTACTCAACATTATCAAGTAGATCAATAATTGCTCTCTCTCTATTTTCTTAGGTTCTTTGCACTTTCTCCTTTCTCCTTTTATCATTCCTCTCAGACAACTAGTTTATACTATCATGTGAATGACTAGTCAGACCACAATGACCCCTGCAGGATTCATTGTATTTCAAGTGAAATTTAGAAAAAAAAAAACTTTCAAACTCTATGTTGCATCATTAATTCTCATGCTTAAGCATAAATCAGAAACATCCAGGGAAACAATTTAGAGTTTATAGGTTCTAGCTCCAGACGTTTCTCTTCAATATGTGTAGGCCAGGCATCTACAATCTTTAAATAAAGCCTGAAAGGCATAAAATTAGTAATTAGTGAAATCGATTGTATACGTTATTTTCATGAAAACTGGCTTAAGTATAACAATTTCTTCCAAAATTAGGTCTTTATATATATTAAGTCTT